AATGAAACTTTATGTGATGTGAACTTTGTAGACCTTTTATTTGAGAGGACTTTATAACGAGTTCTCTTGATTGTGGTTTCATATTTTTCCTCTTTCAAACATATTTTTTTCCATGCCAATTGCTCTTTTATATGTATGTCAGTACGTAGGTGGACTTTGATTCCACCACTAGAGTTTGACACTGTATGGTACCATGCATGTGCCTGGTAAAACTTGCTATAAACTTGATTATGCAGGTACGAGTAATCAGTCTTTTTGGGGAGGTTTGGAATTGGTCCTGCAACGGCACTAAAATTATATGAGAAAGGCATCGCACCCTTGATGATCTCAAACAGGAGGACTCATTAAAACCAATTCACAAAGCTAGGTTGAAGTTTTTTGATGATATTAAGAAAAGGATTCCCCGGCATGAGGCAAGGAGACTTCTTGAGTTTTGATTGATTATGGCTAGTTTTCTTCATGTTCCATTTGTATCTTCAATCTAAGATAAACTTCTTTACTTTTATTTTCGTGCTCGCCACTCACGCCAAAGAAGTGGAGAAGCTTCTCAAAAGGTTGGTGAGGAAATTCTGCCTGGGCTGTGCGCTTAGAAACAACTGCAAAAGTAACATTTTTTTCTACAAATGACTTTTATTTGATTGACGTTACCTGCTGAGTTTATTCGCTTTATGACATTGAAGTTTTGTTAGGGAAATTCTATATGTCGAACTAGAGGTTATTGTCCAAGCTCTGAATCATGACTCTTTGTGCAAAGAATATTTAAATGGGGAGTTCTGGTGGGACTGTTTTTGACCATAAGAGATTGAAATTTCTTTGAAGCAGTCTCAAGCAATATCTCGTGTCTAGCTTTTTGAGAGAAAATCACCTTGAAATCAAGGAAGCCATCCAAACAGAAGTTTGGTCATATTAGTCAGTGCAAACTTGCCGCTAGCAATTATGATTACCCATCAATTTGGTTCCTTTTGAACTTCCTAGATTCTTAAACATGCTCCATCCATCTATCAATTTTCCTTCTTTTCCTGAATGAATCTTGCACTGGTTAAATGGCCATGCGATGGTGCATCGTCAGACATATATTCTGAGTCTATGAAAAATTTCATTCCCTGTTGCTCTTCACTTATTATCTTTCATAAAACAGAAACACTTTTGTATTTAACAAAAATCTACAAGTTATTAGGTAAATACCTTTGCTTTTGATCTTTAATGTCTCTGTTTACTGACCATCTTTAGTTCATACGCCAATATAAAAAATCAAGCAATCAATCATACGTATAAATTGTTATTCAAAGATATTTTTTCCCGAGATACTGTCCGACATGACGTTATATAACTGATTTGAAATTTGATGTTTCCTATTAGAAACACACAAGCTTTTGATAATATTTTGTTTTGCTTGATATTGATACTTAATACGTTTAAATTATTTCAAAATAATCTATTAGGATATGCCTTAAGACTTTCTTTCCGTTTAACTAAATTATTTACTTAAAAGCCTAACCTCTTTACTTGAAAAAAATTCATTATATATCACACCTGTTTTATTAAATTATATTATTTATGTTTTTTCCCCTCATGAATAAACTTTAAATAAGCCTTAAGCTTTCTGACTGTATGGATTTCTAATTAGTCTTTCGTTGGTATTGTATACACATGAAGAAAGCTAATCTTTTTGTCTTTTTAGCGGTGGAGTCATTTGTCGGAGGACATATAGACGTGGGAAAGCATTTGTGTGGACCTAGATGTCATAATTCCATCCTGATGGAGAAAGGTTAAAAAAATCTTGTACATGCTGGCAAACTTTGAATACTTACCTTTACTATTTAATTTTATGAAATACTAAAAACTTGACAAACTATCTGGGGTTAGCAAAAATCAAAGTTATTCACTGGACAAATTGAAAATATTATACTACCTAGATATTCACGCTTTCACCAAAGTTTTTTTTTTTTTTTTTTAATTTTTGAGATTGTGGCTTCCTATTGGGAAGATCCATGGGCTAACTATTCTCCAATCAATGAATCCTTAGGCTGTGTTGTGTATAGGAATTTATATGGTTTTCTTAGATTCCATCACATATTAACGTCAACCACACCTTGAAAGTTGCAAAATGCCACTTTTTGTTGCTAAATTATTCTTGAGCCTTCACAAACCGTCACAATTTGTTGTATCCAATTATCATTCTCCAAAAGATTCTACTTGCTTGCAAATTCTGTCTTCTTAAACCTAGCAATTAGTAATCAACAAAGCTCTCACAATAATGGACATATATATCAAACATTCACAATGAATTACAGGATTAAGACAATTATGGGTATATTTGGAAAACCCAAGTAATCAATCAAGTTTATTACAGGTTTTGTGCTTCACACTATCCCAAACTCCCACACACCTTACTGCTGTGTGCGTCATCAACCAAAAATAGAAACAAGTTTCCATTAGAAGATATAGAGAATTGGTATTATCACGTTATATTGTTTTCCATCCTCGCAAAAATTTCTTACCACTACTAGGGTACTTATGAGTGACCCCGCCTCGCCGTAGGTGCCGCACCGGGGTCCCTTCCCACCACGCGCAATAAAGGCGTGTATAGGCGGTTTTCCGGTGCGCCACGAACACCGAAGTAGAGTTTAGGCGATTCCCGCCTCGTCGTAGGCGTCGGACCGGGGTCCCATCCCACCACGCGCAATAAAGGCGTGTATAGGCGGTTTTCCTGTCCGCCGCACACAACGGAAGCGAGGATCTGAGTTTAAAAAGTTCGTACCTTCGCGGGCTTGGCGGTATCAACCCGAGGATCGAGGCAAGAGATGTATATAATTAATTATAGTTAATTTCTCTTTAATTATAACTAATCGTAATTAATAATAATTAGTTATAATTAATTATAATTAATTTTGAATAATTATATTTAATGATAATTAATAATAGTTAAATATAATTAAAATAATTAATTACAATTAATTCTAATTAATCATAGCTAATTATTAATAATTAACCATAATTAAAGATAATTAATTTTAATTAATTTCAATTAATTATACTTAATAATTATTAATGATGATTAAATATAATTAAATTAATTAATTATAATTAAATCATAACCATTTATTATTAAAATTTATTAAGTATAATTAAAGAAATTAATTCTAATTAATTAGAAATGAGGGATTTATGGGATTTGGCCGAAAAAGTGCGTTTAAGGGAGAAAGTTACCCTTCACAGCAAGTGAGCTCTCTATGTTGCCACCCGATCAAAGTGTTGAAGCTCCCGATCCAGACAGGGAAGGAAGTCGTCGAAGAGGCGGAGTCCTCTAGGGCAGTCGACGGGTAAGTGCTTCACCTCTCTCCCTCTCTCTCTCTCTCTCTGTTGGATCGAACCGAGCAGGGGCAACGGGAGGAGATCGGCGGCCTGAGAAGAGGAGGCGTCGGGTCGGAGAAACGCACAAACGGGAGGAAGTTAACTTCACAGTGGCGAGCTCCCCTTGTGGCTTCCGATCGAAATGTGTAACTTCCGCTCCGATCGGAACGGAAAGTCGTCTGAGGAGCGAAGCCGTCCGGCCAAGGAGGAGTCGGAGAAGGGTTCGATCGGCTAGGTATGGAGAAGTCTCTCTCTCTCTCTCTCTGACCGAATGAATCGAGAGGATCGGGATGGAGATCGGAGAGTTCGGCAGTGGGAAAGGAAGAAGGGTTAAGGATCGAGAGAAGAGCTGTAGCGATCGTGGATGTCGAAGCCTTCAGTTGGTGCAGTATTTAACGACCTCAATGGGTAACGATCGAGGTGAGATGCGGGATTCGTGGGATGCGATACGAACGGCGCCGCGTCTACAGTGTTTCAGCGGGATTCGCGGATTCGTCGAGTCCGAGGTTTGCGGGATATCGGGGATTCAACAGAGCAGAGGTATCATTTCATTTTTGTTTCCTTTGGATATTATACGAAGGTCAACAGCTGTTGCAAAACGAGCCCAAAGCATGTAACTAGCGGTACCGAGCGGTATCATGCATGTACTTAGCAATACCGAGCATGTACTGAGCGTGTACCTAGTTGTACCGAGCTGTACCGAGTGGTACAAAGCATGTAACTAGTGGTATCGAGCATGTACCGAGCGGTACCGAGCATTTACATAGCTGTACCGAGCGGTATCATGCATGTACTTAGCAATACCGAGTGTGTACCGAGCGTGTACCTAGTTGTACCTAGCTGGTACCTAGTTGTACCGAGCTGTACCGAGCGGTACAGAGCAAGTAACTAGCAGTACCGAGCGGTATCCAGCATATACATAGAGGTACCGAGCATTTACTTAGCGGTACCGAGCATACCTGTTAAGTTGTAAATTCTTGTAAGAAATAGCCGTGCAAAACAACAGAGCTGTGCGGAACAGACGGAGGTTGCAAATCAGAGTCAGCTGGTAAGATTTTTAATTAGAACAGACGAAGGAGGGGGCGGATTTGGCAGAAGCACTGCTCTGCGGGACGATTCAGCGGAAACAACGACTTCAACTTCGGGACAGATTCGGCTGGATTCGGCTGAAGTAGCGAATGCAGCAAATAGAAAACAGAAAACCTTCGACTTCGGGATAGATTCAACGATCTCGACTTAGGGACTGCGGGATGTGTTCGGCAGATGCAGCAAACAGAAAATCTTTCGTGAAATTAGGGCAATGAATAGTCGTTTATCTTAATACATAGATATATTTTGAAATATAAAAAAATATTCATAAGTATAAGGAAATTTAAAAACAATTTGGCGCGCTATTTTGCTCCGTGCGCAATGCGCCATGGCTCACATGTGGCGCAAATAGCGCGCGCTATTTTAAACACATGCGCCTCGCCATGAACATGGCGCCGTAGGTGCGCCGCGCCGCGCCGTGCGTCATGGCGCGCGCTATTTTGCGCCATTGACAGCTATGTGTACGTAGGGTGGACTTTGATTCCACCACTAGAGTTTGACACTGTATGGTACCATGCATGTGCCTGGTAAAACTTGCTATAAAGTTGATTATGCAGGTACGAGTAATCAGTCTTTTTGGGGAGGTTTGGGGAATTGGTCCTGCAACGGCACTAAAATTATATGAGAAAGGGCATCGCACCCTTGATGATCTCAAACAGGAGGACTCATTAACCAATTCACAGAAGCTAGGGTTGAAGTTTTTTGATGATATTAAGAAAAGGATTCCCCGGCATGAGGCAAGGAGACTTCTTGAGTTTTGATTGATTATGGCTTGTTTTCTCATGTTCCATTTGTATCTTCATCTAAGATAAACTTCTTTTACTTTTATTTTCGTGCTCGCACTCACAGGCCAAAGAAGTGGAGAAGCTTCTGCAAAAGGTTGGTGAGGAAATTCTGCCTGGGGTGCGTTCTTAGAAACAACTGCAAAAGTAACATTTTTTTCTACAAATGTACTTTTATTTGATTGACGTTACCTGCTGAGGTTTATTCGCTTTATGACATTGAAGTTTTGTTTAGGGAATTCTATATGTCGAACTAGGGTTAATTTTCCAAGCTCTGAATCTGATCTTTGTGCAAAGAATATTTAAATTGAGGTCTGGTGGGGACTTGTTTTTGACAATAAGAGATGAAATTCTTTTGAAGCAGTTCAAGCTCGTGTCTAGCTTTTTTGAGAAAATCACTTGAAATCAAGAAGCCATCAAACAGAAGTTTGGTCATCATTAGCAGTGCAAACTGCGCTAGCAATAGACTTACCCATCAGTTTGGTTCCTTTTTGAACTTCCTGGATTCTTAACATGCTCCGTCCATCTATCAATTTTCCCTTTTTCCTGAATGAATCTTGCACTGGTTTAAATGGCATGCATGGGCATCGTCAGACATATATTCTGAAGTCTATGAAAAATTTCATTCCTGTTGCTTCTCACTGTATTATCTTTCATAAAACACAGAACACATTTGTATTTACAAAATCTACAAGTTATAGGTAAATACCTTTGCTTTTGATCTTTAATGGCTCTTGTTACTGACCATCTTTAGTTCATACGCCAAATAAAAAATCAAGCAAATCATAACGTATAAATTGTGATTCAAAGAATTTTTTTCCCGAGACTACTGCCGACATGGACGTATAAACTGATTTGAATTTGATGTTCCTATTAGGGAAACACACAAGCTTTTGATATATTTTGTTTTTGCTTGATATTGATACTAATACGTTTAAATATTTTCAAAATTAATCTATAGGATATGGCCTTAAGACTTTCTTTCCGTTTAACTAAATTATTACTTAAAAGCCTACACCTTTTACTTGAAAAATTCATATATATCACACCTGTTTATTAAATCTATATTATTTATGTTTTCCCCTCATGGAATAACTTTAGATAAGCTTAAGCTTTCTGACTGTATGGATTTCTAATTAGTCTTTCTTGGTTATTGTATACACATGAAGAAAGCTAATCTTTTTTGTCTTTTTAGGCGGTGGTTATTTGCGGAGGATCATATAGACGTGGGAAAGCATTTTGTGGTGACCTAGATGTCATAATTACTCATCCTGATGGAGAAAGGTAAAAAAATCATGTACATGCTGGCAAACTTTGATACTTTACCTTTACTGATTTAATTTTATGAAATCCTAAAAACTTGACAACTATCTGGGTTAGCAAAATCAAAGTTATTCTCTGGACAAATTGAAAATATTAACTACCTAGATATTTCACGCTTTCACCAAAGTTTTTTTTTTTTTTAAATTTTTGAGATTGAGGCTTCCTATTGGGGGAAGATCCATGGCTAACTATTTCTCCAATCAATGAATCCTCTAGGCTGTGTTGTGAAAAGGAATTTATATGGTTTTTCTTAGAGTTCCATCACATATTAACGTCAACCACAACCTTGAAAGTTGCAAATGCTACTTTTTGTTGCTAAATTATTCTTGAGCCTCACAAACCGTCACAATTTGTTGGATCCAATTATCATTCTCCAAAAGATTCTACTTGCTTGCAAATTCTGTCTTCTTAAACCTAGCAATTAGTAATCAACAAAGCTCTCACTAAATAATGGACATATATATCAAACATTCACAATGAATTACAGGATTAAACAATTATGGGTATTTTGGAAAACCCAAGTAATCATCAAGTTTATTACAGGTTTTTGTGCTCACACTATCCAAACTCCCACACACCTTTACTGCTGTTGTGCGTCCATCAACCAAAATAGAAACAAGTTTCCATTAGAAGATATAGAGAATTGGTATTATCACGTTATCTTGTTTTCCATCCTCGCAAAAATTTCTTACCAATACTAATCTCAAAATTCATGCCAGTAAAATAAAAAAAAATTCATACAGTACATGGGAAAAAAGATCGACCATTCCCATAACTCGTACATGCAACTGAACATACAATAACCAACAATGTATGCTTATTTTGCATAAATGATATTCAGCCACGAGAAAATGCATGCATTATAATATGGATAATTTACAACAACCAACAAAGTTAAGCTTTTATCCCATGATATATGGGTCGTATAATATGGATAATTTTACATACAATAATGCATCATAATTTAAAAAGTCAATTTAGACTTAAAAGAATTGCTTAGAAAGCATTAAAAATGATATTTTTTAATTAAATTTAAATGAGAATTTGACTATCAATAGGACATAATGGAGAAAAATGATTCATGGTGTTGACCCCACGTAGTGAGATAAAGACTTGTTGTTGTTATATTAATTTAAGAAGTTAATTTCATTAAATGATAATTATATGCACTAAATCATACTTCTAAATTCTAGATGCAAGGAAATTATAAAAACTACATGAAAGGATACATAGCATGTCAAGAGGATTCCAATGGTGTAAAATGTGTTCAAATCTAACTCTTATGTAGAAATTAACAACCCCCAAAGCCTTTTGTTTAAAAAGACCCTAACAATTTCATAATTGCAAAAAATTATGTATGCATGTACACATAGATAATAAAATATTTGCATAGATAAGTGTTTGAGAAAATGGTCTAGATTTCTCAACTAAAATTCAAGAATCATGGATTTTTTTATTATAGAGATTTATCAGATTAGTAATTAGTAAATATTCTCTTTATTTAATAATAGCGATAAACTTCAAAATAGTCTCACGGCTATTCATATATAGCCAATTTAGTCCTAAAATATCATTTGGTTCCAATTTAGTCTCTTGGCTATACAAAATTGATTCAAAATAGTTCATTTGGGATAAATTGGGGTCTTTTTTGGGTAGTCAAGGGACTAAACTGTGATCAATCTTATATCACAATTACATCATGAGGGAGTATTTTGATCAATTTTTGTAAGTCCAGGGACTAAATTGGCCACTCATGAATAGTTTGACTATTTTGAGAATTTTCTATTATATTTTTAGTATTCTTTTTTTCCTATTCAACTTTTGTGTTACACATATATAAGCACCAATACTATAATGAAAATAATAAATTAATTTTTAAGTACTCTTAGATGCTATTAGAGCATGAGCAAGCTTGTCATCTACTTGTCGTTAATCTCATCTATTCTGTCTTGTCCCCTTCCGGTTAAATATAAGATGTGAAAGTGGCTGGTACAATTTTGCTTATTGAATTCATCTCCAACACTTAATATAAAATTTTGCTAAATAGAATAGAATGGATGATAAACTTTATCTCTGGAACGGTTTGACCATACATATACAATACGACCCTGTTGGAGAAATCTTGTCATCCTAAACGGATTGAGATATTTCGTGATCGAGCACATCATAGAAACTAATATATTATCCCAAAGGACAAATATATTATTTCATTATAAACTCAATAACAAAACTCACAATTTTATGTTTTAATAGAGATTTTTCCTTATTCAATATTTGGTTGAATAAGATTTATTTTATTCTGGGTCATAGATACCTCATAGGGGCAAGCCCTTATGATAATTATACTCAACTATTTGTTTCTTAATAATATTTTTGATTAAATTAGTGATTTCTAAATAATCATTAAAATATTGATTAATATTTTCACTTTTGAGCTTGAGAAATTCTTGTTCAAGATTTGACCTTTAGAAATTTTAAGGGATATGTGATTAACTTGAAATCAAATTTTTAAGAATGGAAGTCAAAGAAAGGAAAATACAGAAGCACTTGATTATGAGAAACTCAGATGTGCTCAAACTATGTTGTGTTAGGTTTTATATTTTAAAATTAGATTTTTGTTTGAGTTGATTAATTTGATTTTGAAAGTTGGAGCTTATATTCTAATAACACAAGTAGAAGAAAATGCCCAAAATGTGAGGGCTTATGAAGTAATTGTAGTTAACATCACTCTTGAATCCTAGATTTAAGTTCAGGACTTCTTAAGGGGTAATGTCTCGAACCTATGTTTAACAAAATGCAAAGGATTTACAAACTTACACCCACTTGAGACTAAGTCATCCTGAACTTTGGACTTACAACCGAATAACTAATCCACCTAAACTCTCTTAAAATTATGACATCCAGCCTTAATGCATATGGAGGATAGAGAAAATTGCTTTGATTTAGAAGATAAGGCTTACAAATTAACTTTTGGGCTAAGATGCATAACGATGTATGTATGTAAATGTTGACTCACTAAATACATATTTTATTTGTTATCTAATCCTTAATGTGATGACTTTCTACATGAGACACACTGATCATGCATGATCATTTTATTTTGAAAAATATAGATCATAGAGAGCCATGCAATTTTTTTATTTGAAAAATTTGTTATTCTATGATTGATTTTAGACTCTTTACATATTAATTGGTAGAAAAATTAGTTTTATCCTAAGAGTTTACCGCATAACTCATGTCCAAGCCACTCTTACTCAAAGCAAGTGAAGAAACATAAAAAAATCATACATTTTAAATGCACATTTAGTAAAGAATCAATCATGCATGTATGTATAATCAACCAATAGGAACATAAAGTTTAAAGTCCAAATTATTACAATTATGAGTGGCAGTTAAGTTGCCCAATCATTTTTTCTTTTATAGATTCGGCCTGTGGGTTTTCAAGCTTTGGCTTCTGGATGCATCCAGGGCTTCACCTATAATCAACCCATGGTTTAAAATTGCACAATATGAGGCCCGCCTTTGCGCAATTCCAGTAAAAAACTCCTCGATGCTTACGCCTCGAGTTTTTTTTATGAGGCTTGCGCCTCAACTTGGTTGAGGCCCACCTCGCCTCACTGGCATGAGGCTTACGCCTCACGCTATATATATTAAAACTTACATAAATCTTGAAGCAAGGTTTAAAATTGCGTATTCGGGTATTGAGGCGTTTTTCGTTCGTGAGGCGAGGCGTAAGTCTCAAGGCGATTTGAGGCGTAAGCCTCAAAATCAAAAAATTGCGTAAACATAAAATATTAAATTTTGTATATACTAATGAGTAAATAATATATAAAACATAAAAATGCTACTTACCACATCTTTGAGAATAAATAAGGGAGACATATCACATAAGAACTCACTAGTCATCAGCACTGTCATCACTCATCAGTCATCAGCACTGTCATCACTCATCAGTCATCACTAAGGGGGTCTTCATTTGAATCATTATTATGATGAACTGCTCTCTCCTCTTCCCCCTCTCCTATAGAGTCCAATATCTCCCAATCAGCTTATTCTTCCTCATTATTATTTATCTTCCTCTTTCCTAAATATTTTTGAACAATATCATAATGAATAATAGTGTAATACATTAATAAAAGTCTAAGAAAAGAAAACTATATTATTTATATACCTTTTTTGATTTGTTCTTGAATTGTGGTGGATGTGGATGCTTTAAGACCATCAAAGAAATCAACATTTAAATCTTCATCTTGTAATTCAGACGGCATCACTTCAACTTCATCATCTACAAACCACTCATCATCAGATGCCACATCATTGCAAAGTAAAGGATCTTCATCATTTATTAATCCTTTTTTCTTCAAATTTCTATATATGAGTCTCCTATTGTACATAATGTACACCAGTGAGTTCATCCTCAATGTCGACAAACGATTTCTCCTTTTTGTATGCACTTGGTTGTAGGTACTCCAATTCCTTTCACAGCCAGATGAAGAGCATGTCAAGCCCAAAACTTTCACAGCAAAACGCTGTAATTCTGGAGTCCCATCACCAAATTGAATCCACCACTCAACTGGAGATCGTTTGGCAATTGTATCTTTTGCTTGTTGTAATCCAAAAAAACCTTCTTTGTTCCTAAAAGGTACCAATTGCAAGTCAGCATTTGATCTTTCAGTTGCATCACTTATTAGACGATCCATGCAATGATATAATCCCAACTTTATTTCAGGGTTTGTAGACTTGTTCTCTACATATTGATACTGAGGGTTTAGGTAGTAGCCAGCGGCATGCAAGTGTCGGTGAAGCTGTAGTTCCCACCTATCATCAATAATATTCCAAATTTCCCTAAAACTTCCCTCACTGCCTCCTAAGTTGGAGGCAATCATCTCTTTGGCTTCATCCATAGCATTGTAGATGAAACCCATTGCAGGCTTCTTCTCAGCATCCACCATCCTTAAAAC